TGAATCATTTTGAACATGTCTACCAGTGATCTAAAATAATTCCTTGGTGAACCTTTTTTTTTAAACCATTTCCAGCCTGTTTTGCTGGACAACCTATAAGTTCTCTCACACACACTCAACCCGTCTGCCACTCTCTATCTGTGTCCTCTCTTTGACAGCTAAACCTCGAAGGCTCCAGATGAACTGAAGTCCTCTAATCAGCTGACTTGGCTGACCGTGTCGCTCTGATTGCCACGACAATTACAATTCTGGCCACATATTGCTGTCTGCTGGCTGAGGCCAGACCACAAAGAAGGATAGAAGAGAGAAATACAAGCTATAGATTATAGGGATTGCACACCAAATCACAGAGCAATAACAAACCACCTCAAAGATGCTTGTCATGTATAAAAAAAAAAATAACTTGATTGTTTATTAATGTTTTTTTTTGTTGTTGTTTATTACACAAAGTATAAAGGGGATAGTTGGATGAGTATGCATACTGTATATATAATTACTAAAAGAGCATGAGATATAAAGTCAGAATTATGAAATTTAGGTTGAATGTTAAGTTGAAATTGATTTGAGTAATGTCATAAGCACTCTCAATGTGGACTTATTTCATTATTGAGTTGTTATTTCAAAATTGACTTTTTTTCTCATTTATGACATAAAAAGTCAAACTTATTAGATAATAATAAAAAGTATATATTATGATATATTAAGTCATAATCATGGTGTACAGTCAGAATTATAAAATTTAAGTTACATTTTTGTCAAAATTATGAGCTTTTTACCTCATAATTTTGACTTTTATTATGTCTATATCATAATTTTGAGTTTGTAACTCATAATTGTGAGTTGATGACGTGTGAGTATTGTGACTTCTCAAAATTATAACAAGTTGAAACTATGATATGTTCCTGATTATGAAATAAAAAGCCAAAAATTAAGATATGATAAGACATAATTATGAGATATAAAGGCGAAAGAGTAAGGCAACAGCAAAACGGAGCCAAAGCTATTTTAGCTATAGATTGAGGCCTAATTTCTAAATGAAATGTTGCATCTAAAAAAAACTAAAAAAACTATGTCGGTCTATGAGAGATTATCAAACTTGAACTTTAAATCAACCAAATAAAAAAGTTAACTAACAGAGTCTGCACATTGAGCGTTTTAGGCTGAATTCATCGCAGAAGTGTAATACTTGGGTTTAGAGGTACAGAACAAACCGTAACCAGAATGTCTGAGGAATATCGGAACACCTTGCAAGCACTGTTAAAAAGATATCCATGTTCCTGAAAGCAGCAGAATCAAAAGATAGCGCTTCAGCTTCAACAATCAAAACTCTCTCAGAGTAAAAAGAAAAACTCCAGCAACTGGAGTCGAGTCCAAACACTGTTCAGTCTAGGTGATGTCCTGAAGGCTAGAGCAAAACACACTCTCACAGTCCATTCCTCCTGCAAAAAGTGAGCCACAGATCTGTCACAACACAGGCCTACAGAGACATTACCCCTTTGTCATAGCGGCTCAAGAACAGCTCAGTGTTCCAGCTGGCATTTGAGTTGCCAGGTATGACAAGCGGAAGCTCTGCTTGAGCAGGACACATCTACATTCACCCGAAGTCTGGCTGAGACGCTTCGTGACAGCTCTCCTTTCCTCGCCCCCTCGACACAACCCCATCCTTCCCCCGGTTTAGAAGAGCACAAGTCTTGACTGCTAAGTCTCTCTCTCTCTCTCTCTCTCTCTCTCTCTCTCTCTCTCTCTCTCTCTCTCTCTCTCTCTCTCTCTCTCTCTCTCTCTCTCTCTCTCTCTCTCTCTCTCTCTCTCTCTCTCTCTCGCAGCCTGTTTGCCAGGTTTCCCTTTATATCTAGTCATTTTCTCTTATTTTTGTCCATCCTGGTTTTAAGATCTTAACTCTTTCTCCCACAGCTACGACCTCTGGTAAATCTCCTCGGTGATGCAGACAGGCACAGAGAATTCGGTATATAGAGACCATCACATGATCTGCAATGTGCTGCCTCTCCTGAGATCTCGCACTGTATTCACGTTTACATTTATGTTCCTTAAAGTTGCTTTCTTACCCAAAGCTTCTTACTGTATACAAAGTAAAGCATGGTCTATTGTGGGCAGTTCAAACAAAGTAAAGGCTACAAGTCACGTAATGCAAATGAAACACTGGGAAGATATTAAAGCCGAACCGGAAATAGGTTAGGTTTAGTTCAGACGACGTGATTTGGATTATTAATATTTACGTCTAGTTGACAGTTTAATTAAAAACGGAGTCTCAAATATAGAATTACTCTGCAGCTGTGCTGCTTCTGTTCTCAGCATGAGGCTGAGTTGTAAAGCTCTTTTCCAAAGCTTCAGCAATAAACCTGCCGGCTTCTGAGAAAATGTTGATGGACCATAGTGGAGCTTCAGCCCCCTCTAGTGGTGCCTTAGTGAAATGTTCAAAGACTACTATCTTTCTCTCCTTCATCATTCAACCAGCATGATATCTCCTCCATAATGGTAGCAGTAGCATGCCTTTTTCATGAAAATCTCATCCAATAAAGAACATTTTCAGATTATATTTCACCAAAGAATCAGAAAACAAGATGTTTTTAGAACTCTTTAGAAATTATTTTACTGTGGCATTATTTTGAAGTACTCTTTAATGAAATGCAAATGCAAAAAGTAAATAAATTAATACATTTAGATTATATTAATAATGTATATTAAGCACGTACGTGTATACACTGCCATTCAAAAGTTCGTGGTCAGTATTTTGTAAAGAAATTAATAGCAGGCCTATACTATATTCAGCATGGACAGATTACATTGATCAAATGACAGTTAAGTCTTTACACTGTGACAAATTATTGTTCTTTTGAATTTTCTATTCATCAAAGAATCCTGGAAAACTGTTCCCAACATTGATAATAATAAGAAATGTTCCGTGAACTCCAAATCAGCCTATTAGGATGATTTCCGAAGGATCACGTGAGATGGATTTTTCAACAGCCGTTGCTTTAATCTTTAGCTTGGCGTCCCATTTTAAAATCTATTAAAAAAATTATTTTTAAATGTAATAATATTTCACAATAATACCGTTTTTACTGTATTTTAAATTAAATAAATGCAGCTTTGGTAAGCAAAAGGGACATCTTCTTTTGAAAACATAAATCCCCAAACTTTTGAACAGTATAGTGTGTGTAATAAATTTTTAACTGTATTATAAAGAGAATCACCACTGAGAATAATGGGTATTGGAACATAATATGAATTAGCAATAAAAAGGATTTACTTAAATGACTAAACATATTATGGTAATGGGAATTGGTGGTTAGGGATGTGCTTACATATCATTTAAAAATATATATATGTTTTGTTTTACTCAGGGGTGAAATGCGACCTGGACATGTTTTTGTGAGATTAAGATTTCTGCTAAGCAGAGAGAATGAGTGACAGGTTTACAGACATGAGGGCATATAGGACAAAGCGTTACAGCTTTTATAATACCATGTTTTATGCATCACTGTATAAGAAACATGGGTAACATGGTGCCAACAATGTTTATACCTGGGTTATGCAAAAGGCATGGCAAGTCCTGCTCTGTATTCAAAATGTTAAGTTTAAAGGGAAATACAAATCTGTGCAAGTATATAGATTTGAATCCAACTGTTGTGGACAAATTTGTGGCAAGGAGGAGGTGAGGGAGATCAGGCCATATAGTTTGAAAATAGAAACATGCCAAATCAGTGAGGACTTCGAGAAACATGTTCTGCATAAGCTGTTATGTATTATAGGTAAACAAACTTGCAATACTGTATATCTGCATGCAAACTCTCAAAGATGGGTATGGGGTATACAAGCTGACAGCCCGAGGCATTATATTTGAAAACAAACTCAGTTTGACAGCATGGAGGTGAAAGTTGTATCCAATTACTCTCGGAGAGCCTCGCAGAAAAAACATGACAAATGTTCGTTCATATTCACCCACAGACACACTAGGCTATAACAATGGCAGTACCAGCCTAAAGGAAGAAATAGCGGTTCAGCCCACAGCACCCTCAGCTACTTTGTCCTCATGCCCATTGTGAGTCTTTGAAGTAGATCCAACAAGTATTTTTCCATCTTCTCCCACTGTATATCTGTATGATATTCACCTGGTTTAAGCTAAAATGCATGTTTGAGCTGATTTAACTGAAACCAACTTGCACTGATACAGTGTATCTTAAAGTACGTCAGTGCCATATTGTTTTGTCTCAAGATACACAGCTGTATTTTTTTTTCTAAGGCATATTTATGAAAAGATACTTAAATATCCTAATTGAACTAAAACTAATCTTGACTTAATCTGTGAAACAAGGCCATTAAGTGTCATCACTTGTCGAATGAAAACTAATGACAAACATAAAGTGATTCACCCTTATGGAATGTTGCTTTAAGGATTCCAAAGAAACCACAAGCTAATAATACACACTTTCAGTGTGACTCCTGTTGTTTTGAACTTTAGTTTAGATTTTGTTTTCTCTAATTCTGATGTGTTTTTTTTACCCCACGGGTATTTATGTGTGACAATATAAAGCAAGCAATAAATGTGGCAGGTCAAATATCTAATAAAAAAGTATTGGAAATGTTGTCTAGCTTTATGAGTATTTCGTTATCGCAGCAACATATAATGGTGACTCTATACATTTCATGCAGAGAAGCACTCGAACAGTAGTGAGCAAAGACACACAGACCAACATACACCCACAAAAAACACACACACACACACCTATAAGTAAACAAAATTATTGACATCCAATGTACCGTTTTAAAGTTTGTTTAGTTTTAAACAACCTTGACTAGCTCTTAAAACTGACTGAGTTACTTGATTAAATCCCTTCGGTTTTACACAAAACTAATTGCAATAGCAAACCCTTCACTGTAAAGTGAAGTAGACACAATGATGTTTCATTAAAGTTTAATTTTTTCATTTGGTTTCATTTACGGTTTACTCTGGTGAGTCATAGACACGATTGGGCACAGCTCTCCAACAAAATCAAGTCTGTCCAGAATGTCAAACAGGAAGAACTGTTCCTTTTGATTCCAGTGTACACAAGCTTCATAACTCTCAAACCCCAAAAGGTAAGGACATATGTGATTTATTTCTGCTCAAAATTAAATAGGTTGTTTGTCGCTATGATAGGGATCATAACTCGCATCAGTTATGCCTAATTGCTAAAAAATATATATATATATATATATATATATAAGTTGTTTGTCGTTATGATAGGGATAAACTCACATAAGTGATATTTACCTGATTGTTAAAGAAAAAATATTTGCATTAGTACATTCTAAATTAGGCCTATACCCTTTAACTTAAAGTTAAACTAAAGTGCATTTTGTTGGTCGCTCTAGACAGTAATATCTGCTAACTGTAAATAGTAAGACTCCTGGCTATACAGTTTTCTGAAAGAAGATTATGCATTAAGAATACAACACACTATGTAAACTATTTTAATGTAGTGTTTTGAGCATAATGGTGTTGCAAACTATAACATTCAATGGTAAATTATTGGGAATGCTATGCAGACCTTGAATGACAAATAATGATAATTAACTGAAGTATAATTAAATACATAAATTGCAAATGTATTGTTGTTGTTTAAAAACACTGCTTGATATTGGCTGCTGGAAAATAATCAAATGAAAACCTCCACAAAATGCATCTCACTGCTGCTTTTAGAAACTATTTAATTGTTTCTTATTGACATGGAATCCTTGTCATGTGAATGTCTTCATAAATGTGGGGGAAAACACAATAGCGTTAAATATTGTTATTCACGGCTGTTGTTTCCAGCTCCGTCAACTTAATCCTCAAAAAGCCATTCTGATTCCGAATAAAAGCTTGAAAGTGAGAGAAAATAAAAAAAACAAAAGTGGATATTTAGTAGGGGGATTTTGGAAATGTGTATAGCTCATATTCTTTTTATAAATTACCAAAATGAAAGTATTAGATAGATACATATATACAGTATATACTTTAATTTGTTAACTAAGCAAAAACTCACATCACAGAAAAAAAAAGTGATTTTGAATGGATTAGTGATGGCCGATATATCAACAAGGCTGTATATTTTCCAGTATATGGCCATTGTATGATTACTGGAATCATCCAATAAACTTATTTATTTTTAAATGAAAGTTGAATAAATAATGTCTAGATCAACCATTCATTTAATTAAGACAACTTTAAAATAATCAAATTTGCTTTCATTATATTGTATTATACAATTGATGTATTATTATCATTATATATTATCTGCATTAAATCAGTCAACCTGGTCTCAGATTACTGATATGCACTGATATTACAATTCTGGCCAATAATGATAAGCCAATAATTTTCAAAACATTGTTATGGCAAATAATTTATAAATGTCTGATATTAAGATTATATAACATTTTATTTAAATAAATTAATATTAAAACATTAAAAGCTAAAATCAGTTGTTTTAATTCATCATGCCATTTAAGCATCACAAAATATATGAAAAAAGTATTATTCATTTAGAAATGTGCTTAAGATTACATTTCACAGTATTTTTAAGTTATTATTGTTTTAAAAAATGACCTTTGAGTGAGCGTTAGATGATGGCAAAGGAAATCTAAATGTTAAAATAGAGAAAATGAGCATGCACAATTAAATATTTGAATGAATGAGGCATTTATATATGAGGCCTAAAAATGCATCCAAATATTTAATATTAAATAACTTAAAATGTATTCTAATATATATATATATATATATATATATATATATAACCCTGGACCACAAAACCAGTCACATGGGTCAATATTTTGAGCTGACTAAATAAGCTTTCCGATGATGTATGGTTTGTTATGATAGGACAATATTTGGCCGAGATAAAACTGTTTGAAAATCTGGAATCTGAGGGTGCAAAAAATTCAAAACATTGAGAAAATCGCCTTTAAAGTTGTCCATTTATGTTCGCAATTGTGCTGCATCCACTCACAACAATAAATGTTTTATATATTTACAGTATGACATTTATTAAATATCTTCATGGAACATGATTTTTACTTAATATCTTAATGATTTTTGGCATAAAAGAAAAATCGATATCTTTGACCCGTACAATGTATTGTTGGCTATTGCCACAAACATACCCGTGCTACTTGTGACTGGTTTTGTGATCCAGGGTCACATATTTGGTAACCATAACTGATATGGTGCATTCAGATATTGCCACTGGAAAAACCTGCTCTTTTTTATGATTTATTTATTTGTTTGTAGGACTCATACCTTGGTATGAGTAAGGCACCTGCCGAAATGAACTGGATGTCTCTACAAGTCCTGCTCGGCGGGGTCAGCCAATACTCCACTGCATTCGGCCGCGTCTGGCTATCCATAGTGTTCATCTTCCGAATCCTGGTGTTTGTGGTGGCTGTTCAACAGGTGTGGAATGATGAACAGAAAGACTTTGTCTGCAACACCGCCCAGCCGGGCTGTGCTAACGTCTGCTACGACAAATTTTTCCCCATCTCCCACGTCCGTCTATGGGCTCTGCAGATCATTTTCGTCACGTGCCCATCTCTCATGGTGGTGGCTCACGTCAAGTATCGTGAAATGAGGGACCAGAAGTACACCACTGTCCATGAGGGTAAACACCTGTACGCCAACCCTGGGAGGAAGCGTGGAGGCCTGTGGTACACCTACATACTCAGCCTGCTGTTCAAAGCTGGCTTCGATGCAGGCTTCCTCTATCTTTTGTACTACATTTATCATTTCGACATGCCAAATGTTACCAAATGCACTGAACCGCCTTGTCCAAACACTGTTGACTGCTACATCTCCCGTCCTACAGAGAAGAAAATCTTCACCATCTTTATGGTGGTCTCCTCTTCAGTGTGCATCTTCATGTGTATCTGTGAGATATTGTACCTGATTAACAACAAAGTTCGCAAATACCTGCGCATACGGAGCGGCCAGAATATAGGGCTTAAGGGTAAATACACAAGAGTGGATCCAACAGCCTCATCCATCCAGAACATCGTCAACTTGGAAAAGGCAAAAGCCGCAGAAGATGAAAAGCATTCAGGACCGACCTAATAACGGTCTGAACTCTGATTCTGGAACAAGCAAGTGTGATCAACAGTATTGGACAAGTTGGATCTTCATGGCCAATATTAGGTAATCCAATCATGCCAATACACCAAAGGAAAATTGCATTTTAAATATTTTAAGGACTTTTTCCTGTGACAACGACTTATCTATGACTAATTCGGAGTGTCCTTTTTAATTTGAAATGAGAAGGTCATTACCATGGTACTATTCTTGAGTCTCATTCACTAAAGGAGCACACTGCTCCCTAGTGTACATAACATATAACAACGTGGTGAGATGAGAACACAGTAAGCATCCATTCCTGTCCCTGGCCCAATACAGTAAGTGCCCACACTTATTTAAGTCTGAGATCAACTACAAAACTTTGGCACTACAGCATTCTTAAACTCAGACACCCTTAAAAGCCGGACAGAAGGCCAACTAACCTTGGGAACTGGGATGTCTTTATACTTTATACATGAATACATTCATGATTTTCTCAAAAAAATACTTAATGTACATTGTTTACAGAAACCATGCTTTCACATTTCCCAATTCAACAACACTAGCAGCACATACTTCAAGGTAAAGCACTACTAAAGCACTAAATCACATCATTATTGTGTATTGATTTGACTTAAATCAGTTGTGTCTCTTAATTTGGAGAGTGTATGAGTACATTACTTTGTTGCTGTGTGAATTGTTTTGTGTAATCATTTCACGGTTTAAAATAATGGCTGAAAAGCATAGGTTATAGGACCTATTATGTTATTATTATATTTTAGTAACGTCATTGATTATTTTCATGATAACGGCATTAAACTGGTGAGAGCTATTTAGGAGTAACTGAAAGCTACATCCACATTTAATGCTCAGAAGTTACAATTAATGGTGTCAAGATTGTAGATCAATTTACATACCTTTTTTAAAACTGAAAAATGAAAGTATAGAATATGTGTTAAACCATTTAATGTTATTCCCTGGATATTTTTTTTTTGGTTTATTGAATTTGATGCTGCTATGACTAACAGTGAGTATACTGTAAATCCTTTGTATTTTGGTGTATGATGTTCTTCTTATGTGATATAAAAAGACAAACGATGATGACGTGATGTTTCTTTTTTCTTGTTTTACTATTGGAAAAATGACATATTTTATATTAAGTTATAAATCAAGTGGTCTAAAAGGAAACCCAATATAATCCAGTTGATGAATAAAGTTTAAAGTTATTTTGAAACAATGCATTGTATTTTCAAGACGTAGAGCTATATGCATTACTTAAATTCCTCCTTTTAATTTAAATATATGTATGCCCTCTTCTTTATTTGTGAATTATTATTGATTAATGACCAATTATATTGTATTGTCGTTATGCGATATGGTGTCTTTAAAAAAGACAGTAATGTGTGCGTATATAACATGAAAAAGTATATGCTGCATATGCTGTTAAACAACTAAAGAAAAACAGAAAATCATTCAGTGTTCTTGACTGAATTAGTAGCTTTAATAAGAATACATTTCTTACTTGAATGCTGCTGTTAAATTCTCTGGCAAGTAGATTAACTGGTTTAGCTACTCACTTAACTGGTTTGGGCTCTGGTGAGGAGATTCATTGGTTTACCCACTTAACTGGTTTGAGCTCTGGTGAGGAGATTCATTGGTTTACCCACTTAACTGGTTTTGGCTCTGGTGAGGAGAAACTAGTTAAACTGGGGAACAAATTTTATGGGTGTACAACTCATTCAGGGGAGGATCTAATCAAATAGGTCAGATTTTGTTGTCAGTCGTGACATCACGTTGGAGCACATACCCGAACAGCTCATTTTGAGACATTGTTTCAATAACAAACAAGTGGATGGATTCTTACCACATAGGGTGGTTGTGTACACAATGCGGACACATAAATATGTTCGAAAACAATAAATGTGAATTTTGCATTATAAGTCTTTTAATGGCACGTGACTATGACAATATTAACCACACATAGTTTGACTGTTGGGGCATGTTGTAACAAATGATATCCCTTGCATTGCCATTAAAACAACATAGAAAATAGTTTAGAAAAGAAAAAAAATAATAAGGATAATAAATAATGGTTATATAGGCTATACAGAATTCAACATTATCTACATGTGAGTGTAACAATATATTTATCAAATGTTCTTTTATCTCTGTCCAATAATAGAAACTTTAGTTATTGTAGCCGATTCGGTAGGCTATATGTCTGTACAGAAACAGAAATGAAGGAATATTCACATGAGTAAAAATTGTGACAACTAGCCCTAGTCTCCAAAAGGCCTATGGAGACAGACATTTGCTCAAAGCCAATGTTATGCAGCTACATTACATCCTAATGGTATTTTACAAATGGCCACATAAATCAAGCTCTTACCTCAAAATAACAACTCTATCCACCCGCCTTCATAAATATGGTTACTAAAACAAAACACCATGTAAACAGTGACTCAAAGTTTCTACTATGATGAGCAGTCTTCCATTGTTTTAACCAATCTGATGGAAAATATGAGGCTGCGCCTGTGACAAACGTGATAGCGAACCAATCAGCTTCAGGAGGCGGGTCTTATTAAATACAGCCGGATCGCTCCATTTGCTAAAGAAAGATTCTCCGCGGAATGAGTTATTACGGACAGGTAAAATCTTTCTTCCGGGTTTAGCCTTTTTAAATATTTATATGTATATTTAATGTTTATTTGATTCTTTCATATGTGTCTTACGGTCTAAACTCTTGGTGTTTGGTGTACAGGGAAATTATGCATAACTGTGATCGCGTAATCGCCTAAAACAAGCTTTTTGCAGGCTAGTCAGTTAGCCCTGTAGCTACTCTGATTTGAAATACATTCAAATTAAGGTTTTGTTTGTGTTGATTGCGTTTTGGTCAGTAGTTTGTCACATTAAATGAAATGATTATGTGTTTTACATCTTTATCTTAATTAATGTCATTCAACAAAGATGCTAAATGGAAATGTGTCACTTTTGGGTCTTAACGTTAGCCACTGTAACGTTTACTTAGCTACCCTTTTGCCATCATTCACCATAACCCGCAGTTTTTGTTACTGCTGTAAAATCTAAATAAAAGAATATGAGATTACCAGTATGACTCAGTACCATGTTATGGTCCGAACTTTTCCTTCCGTAACAGAAAAGATGATGTTAGACAGTCTCAGTCACCAATCACTTTCACTGAATTGAAAAGCATGCATTGAATGTGAATGGTGACTGAATATCTAATTCTACCTAAAATAGTTCCAGTAACACTTTATTTTAAGGTGACATAGTTACATGTTACTACATTTACTTACTATAGTTATAACTGTAATTATGTAACCCTAAACTAAACCCTAACTTTAACCATAACTCTATAGTAAGTACATGTAGTTTATTTTACTCGGTACTTATTTGAGTAAGTACAATCTTAACTATTTCACCTTAAAATAAAGTGTAACCATAGTTCCTATATTCATATTATAAATATTATATAAATATCCGTATAATAATATATATTTTAGTGTTCCACCTAAGAGATTTAGTCAGTACAACTTGAGGGTGAGTAAATGACGACAGAATGTACATATATTCACCTAAACATTCCTTTCATTTTGATTATAATCCTTTATTTACTGTTTTAGTGACATGGTTGCCTTTGTTATGGGCCACAGCTGATTCTTTGTTGATGTTTCATACAAACATTTCCCCAATACAAGCTTTTCCTTATTTGTTTTTCAAAGGGTTATCCGGGACCAGGTGGTAACGCTCCCCAACGCCACCCCGCTCCAGGGGCGCCGTATGGAGGTGGTCCTGCTGGCGGGCAGTATGGTTCACATTATGGCAGTGCCTCTCTTGGGCAACAGTATGGTGGAGGGGCTCCATACGGGTCTCATGGTCAACCTGGACCAGGAGCGGCGTACGGTGGGGGCCAAGCTCCTGGTGGTCCATACGGAGGTTATGGACAACCCCAGAGAGGACCATATAGTCAGCAGGCACCTGCAGGTTAGATATGTGTAACTCTATTTCATTTTAGTTGAGTAGAGTATCATATTGGGAGCATATATAAATATATTACTAAATTATGTGTGTGTGTGTGTGTGTGTGTGTGTGTGTGTGTGTGTGTGTGTGTGTGTGTGTGTGTGTGTGTGTGTGTGTGTGTGTGTGTGTGTGTGTGTGTGTGTGTGTGTGTGTGTGTGTGTGTGTGTGTGTGTACTAAAAGGACACTCAAGCTTTTCTTTTCTTTTTTTGAAAGAAATTAATACTTTTATTCAGCAAGGATGCATTAAAATAATCAAAAGTGAGTGACAGTAAAGACTTATACATAAAAGTTATATTTCCAATAAATGCATGTTGTTCTTTTGAATTTTGTTCATCAAAGAATTCAGAAAAAAATGGACTATATCACAATATCCTCAAAAATATTAAGCAGCAACTGTTTACAACATAATAATAATAATAATAAATGTTACTTGAGCAACAAATCAGCATATTAGAATGATTTCTGAAGTATCATGTGACACTGAAGACTGGAGTAATGATGCTGAAAATTCAGCTTTGACATCACAAGAATAAATTACATTTTAAAATATATTAAAATGTAAAGTTTATTTTAAGTTCGTTCAATTAAAAGTTTTAATATTAAAAAGTTATTTTTGTATATTTTAAATTAATATACAATATTATACAATATTACTTGTTTACTGTATTTTTTAAATGAATAAATGCAGCCTTGATGAGCACAAGTGACTTCTTTCAAAACATAAAAAAAATGACAGACCCTGAACTTTTAAATGGTAGTGTACAGTATATCATATTAATTTCTCACTTTTTGGTTAATAGACTGTGGAGGAATAGGAATGTTGTTTGGAATATATTACTTTTTTTTTATCAGGATGTTTTGCACAGCTTCATACATCTTCAAATGCACCGTAATAGATGTTTGGTCCAGCAGGTGAATTTTTCAACATGGTGTCAGGAGTGGTAGGCAGCAGCTCCGGGCTGATTTGACTGATGATGTCTGAGTGTCAGGGTTGGCAGCTAAGACAGCGCGAGCCGCTGCCGTTCAATCAGGCATGCAGTGGCTGAGGGCTGTGAATAAAATACGAAAGATAGGAATTTATGAAGGTGCTGCAGACAAGGTCCTTGATCCTCCTGCACTGCAGCTGTGTCACATGCCCCTCACTGAATGACTGATGCTGAGACACTGCAGGATGGCAGAAGCAGCTTGTACTGATCTGGTACAGAATGTGCCCACAGGAGAATTAGAGTGATGAGTGTGGTAATTCTGAGCGAAAGGGTTCGTGTGTATGTGTCCTTCTGCGTTTATGTCGGTAAGTATTCTGTAATGTCCTGTGGGAAAGGCTGTCAGATTCAAAGAGTGTCCTCTGAACAGTGCTTATCCCTCCCGAGGGATACAGTGACCGTCTGCGCTTCACCAAATTGCACAACTTATTCTTGTCCCTCTTGGGACCAAGATGACATATCACTGACAACCTAGGCTTGTTCACACTGGGCCCATTTCCAAGATGTTTTTCAAATCCGACCTATAGGACTGCTTGTTCTCATCATCGTCCTACTGTCATTTTGCAAGTAATGAACAATCTTTTGCACATTTATGCATATGCTGCATCTGAAACTGCTCCATTCAGTAAATAGCGGATACCACATGTGAATATAAATGAGCTATTTATTTATTTTCTTTGCATCCTTTTTTGTCCGTCCAAAAAACGACCAAAGGGATTTGAGTATACACCAAAAATAATCGTTTTTGAGTTCATTCCTAAATACTATTTTGACCTGTGGTTAAGTGATCTGTTTTTAACTGACTGAATTATCTCATGTTGGAATATGTTGGAAATTCATTTGCAACTAACTCACTAATGCAGGCCGTTTTCATGTTGTAGGTAACATTCCTCCCGGTGTGAATCCTGAGGCCTACCAGTGGTTTTCTTCTGTGGACACAGATCATAGTGGCTACATTAACGGAAAGGAGCTGAAGCAAGCGCTCATGAATTCCAACAACTCCACTTTCAATGACGAAACCTGCATTATGATGCTCAGTGAGTGCTGCCATTGTTAGCATAAACCTCCTGACAGAG